AATTGCGATTCCAGTAAAATTACAAAGAACAGCATTTCCCTTCGGATTGTTCTGGCAATAAAAGCCAGATTAACAATAATGGATTATAGGGTGACTCTGAATTACAGTCACCTGTACTCATGAGACATTCATTGCAGTTTCATCAAAACAGCCTGTGACATGTGATCCTTCCAGCTTTTACTGGAATACCGGCTGTAGGATTCCACACTCTACGAGGAAGGAAGCAATAGTATTTAAACACATACACACGTAAACAATAAAAACAACAGTCTGAAGAAACAGAAGTGGAGAAAAGTTATAAAATCAGTATGTGCGAGCATTGCTTTACTGGTAGTGGCATGATATAGGGCGAATATGAATACAACTGGTAAAGTGGGAAGCTTAAGCATAATCATCTATCATTATGTACTGTATAAAGTCTTACATGAATAGGTAATCCTAAACTAGTATGGGATAACATTCGTTAAATCATTTGGATTATATATTAAAAACATTTTAGTGTTCTACTTTACATGTTATCACTTGTGGCAAGTAAAAAATAAAAAGATAAATACATATACTGTAAAAAAAATTTTTTTTACTACTGACTGTAAAAATGCTGCATTAAAAACCTGTTAATTGGTTTACAGTAATTTCCTTTACACTATATATGGTAAAAAAAAATTGCAGTATATCTTTTGGGACATTGCAAGTAATTTTACAGTAAAATACTGTTAAATGTACAGCTTTTGGAAGTGGAAAAAAACCATTAATTTACAACGAAAAAAACCTTTAATTGACATTCTCAGAAATCTCTGTGACAGATCACATTATATGGTTTTTCATTTAAATAAACTATGTTTCTTCTAAGATTTTTTATCAGTTATGTACATTAGGGTTGTATGTTAAATCATATGTTGTTAAATAAATGTTTGATTGCATTATTTTGGTGTCGTGTGATACCATGATGATGTTTTGTATTTGCATGACACTGGGCACCTTCTATACATTAATATTCATTATTTAATATTCATTAATATTCCAATATCTTGTGGAATAGCTACTTGTGGTGAACTTTATGTCAACAGTGGGCTTTCACTTTACCACCATGGTTTTCACTATATCATAAAGGTTAAAAATAGACTTTAATAATTTGGTATAATCACTTTCTTTTCTTTTTACCATATTCTGGCAACCATGGCTGCAGACTTTTCTTCAAAGATTTTTTTTTTAAATGTAGGAATGCTTTATTTTATAGTGCTTTATATTAGAATAAAACATTACAATTGGCCTTTCTATTTTAGTACAGGTACTTCTACAGAGCAACCAAAATATCCCATAACATAAAGGTCATAAATATATATTTTTAATAAATAAAATGCAAAATAGAATTTCATGGTCAGTAAGAAATATGTGTAACGTGTATACGTGGACAAAGCAGTTTAGGACATAATAACTCCAAACAAAAGAGGAGGGACAATGGTTTTGAATCCAAGTGGAATCTGAATCAGATCTTCTGGTTTTGGTGTTCCACTTGACCAGCATGTCCAGCTTGTGTTTTGTCTGTACTGTTGCTGTAAACACCACCAAAATAGAGCTACAGATCCCAGGGTCTGTGATGTCACAGTACTGTGATGATTGTGCTAAATCCTGCACTCTATGTTTAGCTAGTGCCTTCATTTAAGTCTCAAACCGGGAAATGATGAGCCCTAGGCCGTATCTGGCTTTGTCCTTTTTAGGTTAAGTGATGTATCTGATGACAGCTATGTGTCAAGCTGTCAAGGCTGTATGGTCAAACACTATGACAAACTAGCCAAAATTAGCTGCATTTCAAAAATAAATGGTGTACTTATGAGTGAGAAGAGGATTATTATTGTAAACTAAAAAATAAGATGAAAACTACTGACAGAAAAACAGAACATACAGAAAATAGGCCAAGTAAACAAAAAACTAAACAAAACAATTCATTTGAAAACATTTGTAAACAAACAAAATATGCAAAGTAAACAAACAAAAAAAATGAATCAAAACAAAACTATGATGAAACGATTCATATGAAAACATTTTCATAACCTGAAATAACTTATCCAGAGTAAACCAAAAACTAAACTACACTTTAAAAAAAAAACTACAATGAAACGATTCATATAAAAACATTTTTGTAAAATGTGAAAAAGTAAACTAAAAACTAAATTAAAAAACTAGCTGGGGGAGGGGGAAAAAAAATCACATAAAAACAATTGATTTAAAAATATTTTTGTAAAATTGAGAAAAACCTTACAATATTTGAAAATAGTATTAAAATTACAATTAATAAACATTTTCATAACCTGAAATAACTTATCCAGAGTAAACCAAAAACTAAACTACACTTTAAAAAAAAACTACAATGAAACGATTCATATAAAAACATTTTTGTAAAATGTGAAAAAGTAAACTAAAAACTAAATTAAAAAACTAGCTGGGGGAGGGGGGGAAAAAAAATCACATAAAAACAATTGATTTAAAAATATTTTTGTAAAATTGAGAAAAACCTTACAATATTTGAAAATAGTATTAAAATTACAATTAATAAAAAAAAAATAAAAAAAACACTCTACTCCAAAAAGGAAACCATTTCAATATTTACACAAAGCTAATGCCGGCATGCACAGTGCTTATCAGCACTGAACTGAAAATGGCCACGAAAACCCCAGAAAATGTACTGTATATAAAAAGTATAAAATACACAAATTGCTGATCTAAACACTTGCATGAGTTTTCCTGAGAGAATGTTTTCCCAACCCACTCCACTAGAGTAAATATGCAGCATTTACAATAACATACAGTCTGTGCGTGCATAGTTTTGGTCGGGGAAATATGCAATGCAATCAGCAGGAGAATCTTAGCATGGTAAAAAAAAAAAAAAACAGAAGAATGAAGGGAACTCTTTCAAACTGACTTCCAGTAAACCCTCCTCTTACTGCAACGGTTTCTCTCACAACAGGGAGCTGTTTCTTCAGACACACCAGATAAAAAAAAAAAATCATATGCAGCTCATTTACGGGCACTAATCCAGCAGCTGCAGTAAAGGACAAATATATAGACACACGCTGATACATTAAACGTGCTGTGTCTAAAAACAATCCCACTTTGCATGTTTATTTAGCACTTTTAAGTGGACACTATGTGATATTTGACATCCATTTTTACCGCCATCAAAATACAATACATCAGCCCATGAACCATAACAGAGTTTGAACTCTCCAAACAATCTCCTCATATGTCAAGAATCCCTTTACTAACCTCGAAGGTTATGTTAACTCAAACTGAGAAGCAATTCAAACATACGGAATGCACAAGAAATCACGATGGGTGTTTTCTCGCCATACACAGATCTCTCTGCTGCACCACAAGTCATGCCCTACAGCCAGAGCAGTCTGGCATGGGATGGATGACAAATGCTCTCATTTGAATATAATGTAAGAATCGGGTGCCATTTGGCACACCCCAGCCCTCACCTGCCCCCACCCTCCTGCCTCTTACTGGAAACCCTGACAGCTGCTCGACTCACTTTCACAACCTCTCCTGACACCTCCCGCAGGGTTTTATTAGAGTCGGCCTGGCAGAGCTCAGCTGCTGGAAACACAGCCAGTAAAGGCCAGGAAACCTCCGCTGCTGACCATATGACATCACTGCAGCGGGGTGGACAGGCCTTTCAGGTCTGAGTGCAGCGAGTGTAAATAAGATCGTGTTACTCACGGCACTGAGCATGCGAGCGTGACACTCAAGTATCAAGTGGAATTAGGAGCCATGCTGACATACCAGTTGTGATGTTATTTTTGATTTGCAATTAACAGTCATTAATGGGATGTGGATATTTTAGTGGCTACATATAACACTAGGGAGCAATAAGTCATGCAGTCACTCATGCATGTTGTGACTAAATGACATTGCTGCACATCTGGAGGCGGATGTACTGTTATCAAAGTCAAACTGTTTCTTGTTACACATGAGTTAGAATTATGATATGCCATCAAGATATCTAAGGTCTGTCCCTGTCTTGTGTGTATTAATTGCATTGTGTTCTAATATGCTATGTATTTTGTTCAAATTATTTTCTAATGTTAAACAATTGTTGTAAACTTGTTTAATTGTGTTATTTTAAACAGTAAACTTCTTTCAATTTAAACAGTAAACTTGTTGATAGATATATTTATATAGACACACACAGACACACACGTCTGGAATAATTTCATTTTTATATGAAAATGGTTGCCATCACAGGAATGAATTACATTTTAAAATGTAATATTTCATAATATTACCATTGTCACTGTAAAATGCAGCCTTGGTGAGCATTAAAAAAAATATTCCACAAGTCACACTTAAACGTCATTAGATACAAAATATCACAAAATGGCATCTGCAAACAAATGATGCAAGAGCATTTCTCAGAACTATGTTAGTTTCCTGAAGGTCCTCAAGTTTACACAGAGGTGTAAAGAAACCATATTTGTAGTTCATCACATTAACTTAAAATATATATTTTTTTTCCACATAATTTGATGACTAAAAGATGTGCTTGTGCTAATAAATGGCACCTTATATTTAATGCAGTGCTATTTTGTGTGTGGATTATGTGCCCAAAAACTTTCTGGTCACTGTATGATAAGTATAATATGATAAGCAAAGAAAATTTAATGTACTACTACATAATGCAGTTCAGACACGTTAAAAATCACAAATGAATGTTTTGTCCTCAATAACTGTTGATAGGGCTAAGCCTCCACAAATGTTACACGTGAGCGCCCACAAGTGGACAAAGTTAATATAACATCAGTCAACTTATTAAATAAAGGCATACTGTGTTTTTTCCCTGGCCATCACTAAGTTCTGGCCAGGCTACAGCACCAGGATCAATATTACATCTCAAACTGTACACTGGAATTGGTTTCATTCAGTAGGTTTCAACAACCTCGAACAGTTTTGTACTTTTGAGAGGATTACTGTAAACTGATCGATGTCTGCGAGTTCCATTATTCACGTCTGTAAATTTAAGGCCGCTTAGATTATCGAATACAGTAAACCAAAGTTCAGTAAAGTCCTGTGAATTGCTGGCTGCACTGTTACCGTTACATTACAGTGCAAAGGAGAAGAAGACATGAGCTCCAAAACACTAACGATTCCAGCTCGTTTACTCTGTTATTGCTTCCACAAACCTCGTCGTGTTTTTCACGTGGATCCGGCGCGACTGTACTATGGGTCGCCGCAGGTGGCGACGGGATCAGCCGTTCGCACCGTGGACCTCCGCAGCGATACCGTCACCAAACCCGGAGCAGCCATGCGCAGAGCCATGGCAGAGGCAGAGGTCGGAGACGATGTGTTCGGAGAAGACCCTACGGTTAATGGTTAGAGATTGACACACAGTCAGTTGCGTGCTTCTGTTAAATCAGACTCTTATTCTGATAAGTTTAAAGGCTCCAGGTGTGCTTAATTATGATTCCATCTGTTAAAACCATAAAAACAGATGGGGTAAATAGAACATTGCTCCCCTTTGGTAATGGCCATGAGAGGGCGCTCCGCTCGCATCCGTTAAGCCAGTTAAAGACTAAAATATAAGATACTTTTGATTTATTGTATTTTTCGTCAATACATAATTACCATACTTCATTTTGTCATAATTCTGATCACTATTGGCATGTCACCATATTCTAATTTGTTGAGATAGTGAATTGGTGGGTTTTTGTTAAATGTGAGCCAAAATCATCACAATTAAAAGAACCAAAGACTTAAACTACTTCAGTCTGTGTGCATTGAATTTATTTAATACACGAGCTTCACAATTTGAGTTGAATTACTGAAATAAATGAACTTTTCCACGACATTCTAATTTATTGAGATGCACCTGTATGTGCCACGCGTAATGGTTGAAGTATAATGATATTTTTTTCCCCATTTTTTCTGTAGAACTACAGAAAATAGCTGCTGATATGTTTGGCATGGAAGCGGCTTTGTATGTTCCCACTGGAACGATGAGTAACCTGATTGCAGGTGAGATTGCAGGATGGACACATATAATGCTGTTTTCCAGTGTCACTGTGGTCTCTGTCACTGCTTGAGAGCTGCTTCTGGATATTAAAATCTGATATTTCAAAAATGATTTTGATTTGCGCTTTAGCTCACAGAAATAGCTCACTATTCTTGGAATTTTGTTCTTGTTAGTGACCAGATGCAGTAACATATAGCAGAGCAGTTCTTCCCAACACATATGTTGCCCTCATGTTTCTTTTCTCTTTCTCTGTCTCAGTTATGGTGCACTGCAGAGAGAGGGGTGATGAGATGATAGTAGGTGATCTCTCTCATATTCACGTTTACGAACAGGGAGGAAGTGCACAGGTATGAACAAATGGGGGGGATGTATTTGTCTCTTATAGGCTTATTTGTTCTTTGTCTCTCATGTTATTCCATTTATAATTCCTGTAATCCCTTATCAATTAAATTTTTAATTAAATAATGCATGACAACTACATGATTTATGTAAGCACATAAAGAAGTCTGCCAATTTATCCCAAAATATTAAAATGTAATTTCCACCACAGAATGCTATTAAACACAATGATAATGTGGAGATGTGGTGGAAATGATCATGATGTTTTAGAAAAATTCATTTGTTTTGAGATGCATGTGAACTTCCATTCCAAAGGTTAGGGTCAGTGAGATTTTTATTATGTTTTTGATCTTACCAAGGCTGGCTTCATTTAATTAAAAAATAAAAAATAAATAGCAATATTATAAGTACTACAATAATTTAAAATAACTGTTGTCTTTGTTAGTATACTTTAAAATGTAATTTATTCCTGTGATGGTAAAGCTGAATTTGCAGTGTCAGAAAACATTTTAATGTCCTGATTTGGTGTTCAAGAAAAAAAGTTATCAACAACCGTTGTGCTGCTGTGGAAACTGTGATATACTTTTGTGAAATATTGCTATTTGAAATAGAAATATGTCAAAGTCTCTACTGTCCTTTTTGATCAATTCAATGAGCCCTTGCTAAATAGAAGTATTAATTTCTTCCAAAATCAAAAAATCAAAAGGGGTTAAGTGAGTTTCATTTTCGAAAAAGTCCAGATGTGCCCATAGTTGAAGAAACACCCATATACAACATTATCTGCAGGCTGAAATAAAATGTGGTTATGTTTGTTCATAGCTTGCAGGCGTCCATTCTGCAACAGTCACTACCCTCAGCAATGGCACCTTTGACCTAGACCAGCTGATCTCCAAGATCCGTCACGGTTACCCTGACCCACACTACCCACGCTCCCGCCTGGTTTGTGTGGAAAACACACACAATATTCAGGGAGGGCGCGTTCTCCCACTCTCCTTCCTGCAGGAGGTTAGATAGCTATTGATTAAACATTAGCTCATTAAACGGGTGTATGTGAGAGAATGAGAATATGTTAAGGCAGCCAGACACCTGGGGCTAAACTCTGAACAACAGGACACAATCCCTCCATTTACACCCCCTGGTGATGTTCATTTAGTAAATGAGTGATTAAACAAAGACTGATTTACTCAGCACTCCAGCACAAATAGGTTTCATGCATTGCCTCAGATTTGACAAATGAAGCACATCCACATGCTACACTTTTATGTTGAAAGTTGAAAAATGTAGAAGCCTTGCATAAACGTAGAAGCTGTGCATAACTGTATGTTTTTTTTTTCCCTCGCTCAAAGCTTCGCTCTGTGGCTGATAATTTTGGTTTGACTGTGCATATGGATGGAGCGAGGGTGATGAATGCAGCTGTGGCTCTGGGCATCCAACCTTCTGCTATACTGCAGCACTGCCACTCTGTCAGTGTGTGTTTATCCAAGGTAAGCACTCACTTTCTCTTAGGGTCCACTTTATAATACAATAACTGTTATTTTTGTATAGCTATTTTATATATGAAGCTCAGATAAATTGGTGGCTGACTAAATACTTTTTTGCCCCACTGTATGTAGATGCTATATATTTACGTTTGACAATGAATTTAATCAAATAATAATAGGACAGATGTTATTTAATCATGTTAAATTTAGTACAACCAAATATTTAAAATAGAATAAAAGTTTCAAAAGTTTGGGGTCAGTATTTTTTAAAGAAATATATTCAACACTGAGGCATTAAACTGACAAAGTTACAAAAACTTTTACATAGTAACAAAAAAAATTTAATTTAAAATAAAAGCTGTTCTTCTGAACTTTCTACTTAAGAATCCTGAAAAAATATTAAGCACCAAATCAGTATGTTAGAATGATTTCTGAAAGATCATGTAACACTGAAGACTGGAGTAATGGCTGCTAAAAATTCAACTTAGCCATCACAGGAATAAATTACATTTCAAAATATATTAGAATCGAAAACAGTTATATTAAGTATTACTACCCTTCGAGTCTTCTTTCAAAAACATAAAATCTTACTGACCCCAAACTTCTGAAGAAAAATGTGTGTATATATTTATTTTGATATATATTTGGGAATGGCTAGTCTTTCTTTCAGCACAATGTAGGTTGTTTTATTGTAGCTGCCAGGGGGCAAATAAAATCTTTATGTGAGAGAAAGGAGAACATAATTTGAAAATTGAAACTGTATAGTAAATGCAGCAACAAATTCACCTTGAACACAGTAGTGAGATTTTCATAATAGGAAAAATGTACTTGTTATAAACTAGCAGTAGTTTTCATGCTCTAGACAGTAATTTTCCAGGAAAGTTATTTCAGTCATTTTTAACAAAACAACCCTGGGCAGTGAGAAACAGAATCTGTAGTTTTCCACCAAAAAGCAGGAGAAATCAGTTTAAGTGAGAGGCATTGAAAATGACCGTGTTAAAGTCAGTGCTCGTATGCTTTATAACCTGCACCCTGAAGGTGTCTCACACATCCAGATAATCAAGTCTTATTTTAGTCATATCATCAAAGTGTGATGGTACTTTCCTCTGATAACACATCTGTAATATTGTATCATCTAGGATTTGAAATGTCCTCCTCATTACTCCCCACAGAATGAACTCAACATCACAACTCAGATCATCACATACACACAAAGTCGATTGAAGAGACCCTGAAGTAAAACCTAATCACTCTCAACTCTCAGGAAAATCCTTGGAGTAGATGTCAAGAAGCGTATTTGCATTTTAATTACAGAACTTGTTTGCATCTAGCTGGAAATAGGCTACTCTCCATCACCGATTTTCCCTCTTTTTTCGCTGAAAGACATTAAATGTAATTGAGGCTTATAGACAAAGACCACTGATATGAATATAAAATCACTTCTGCCTGTCCTGACTACAGACGTTCAAGGAAAAAGCCACCATCTATAATCCAGGTGTCCTTTATAAACGTGTGCTTGTTCATATGCTCATATACTATAACAGCTGTTTGATTATACTTGATGCATATATACTTTAGTGATTATAGTTGAATGATTTGTAGGTTGTCGTTTATGCTGTGTAGTGTACATCATACTTTATTCATAAATGCAAATTGGACTGTAAGACATATCAGGGGTGTTCACAGAGGACAGGTTTTATTTTACATGGAGTAGGTTGCTATATAGGAGCCAACATGTTAAGATCACATGACCAACCAAATGTTACTTTTTAAAGTTTTTAAAGTTCAGACAGAGGGTGGAAAATGATCATGAAAAACTAAATTCACTGTTTTGGCAAGAAAACAACTTAAACTGAAAAAAAAGGAATTAAACTAAATAGAAACATTAAAAAAATTATGAGTGGCAAAAGCACATAACACAACTACTAAAACTTCAACTAAAATTAGTTGAAAATAAAAATAAAAGCCATTTCAAAATAATAATAAATATTGTAATAGTATATAAAAGATACTAAAATAACACTGGTTCGGGGAATAAAATAACATTTTAAAATGATGTAATGAACCTTTTAGGCAAATTAAAAAACAAAATTTAACACACAAAGATGTTCTATACAGTAATTATATCTGAACTGTACCGTACTGACTGTTTTGTTTTCTCTAAGTGAAGAGCTGGACATCTGATCTGATTTGCTCTTTGGCAGGGACTCGGGGCACCTGTGGGCACCATGCTAGGTGGCTCAAAAGATTTCATACAGAGAGCAGTACGTGCCCGCAAGGCACTTGGCGGTGGAATGCGCCAATCGGGTGTCTTGGCAGCAGCTGGTAAGATTGCCCTGTCAGACATGATTGGCAGAGTGAAGGAGGACCACAGGAACGCCAAAAGCTTTGCTCAAGGTGACAGAACCCCATAGATTTCCTTCAACCCTCCGCACGACACTGTACAAGCACTGTAGGCTTATTGCATTAGTTAGCCTGTGCTTGATGAAGACTTTTTCCTAAACTGTTATGATTATAAAGAATTAAAGGAATATATTAAGCTTATAAAATACTTTTAAATGCAGTAGCTGGAATTAGTTAACATCACTGTTTTGTTAATCATCTACAGTTGTTATGCTCTTTCATAAACCTGTATGACTGAATGTAGTCCCCATGCAGTCACTATTTTTATCCCTTAAAACTCATCTTTGATAAAGAAAACGATGCATTTAAACATTTTTTTCTCATGAAATAATTTCTAAATGCAATGTAAAATATGTGAAAAATAATGTTTTTCGAACAACCTAGTATGAGAGCCTGTTCTAGTACACCCCCAAAACAAAATCAAGACTTTGTAAAAGAGCATAATAGGACCCCTTTAAAATTACTTCAGTGCAGCTCTACATCCTTACCTCATACAGTCTATGTTTAGTATACATGCAACCCTGAATATGCAAATTAGTCCTCACCTCCACTCAGTCACAACAGCTTGGACTACCTGCTCCATCATAGAAAGAGAAAGCAGATTTCTGTTAATCTGGTTTAAAGGGCTATTAGTTTAGGACTAGGCTTAATCTCTGTCCGGGAAACCGGCCCTTAAAGGGTCATGAAACCCCCTGTTTCAGCACTGGTTAGTTCTCACCACAGTTTTAAAAAATGCTAAAAAAGTGGGCGTGGTGCGCAGCGGAGCGGGAAGAGGGGAGACAGACAACACACACAGCTTCGCGTTCAGACTGTTTCATTTCGCTCCCATCGAGTTAACAAATAAATAACACTAATAAATGCACAGCCATTTGCACTCTGCATTGAAAACATATATATGAACGCGCTGTTGCACCTCTGAGAACTTTTAAGGCTTATTCTGTGGTATTTATATAAGCTTTTTGACGGGTTGTGTCACAGAGCTGTAAAAAGAGTTATGCTCACCAAGTGAATGAATCGCGTTTGTGCCGAACTCTTATTACAAAGCAAAAACAAACAATCTTCTTTGATCCATGAACGTTACTCTCAGTTAACGTGCGCGATGTCATCTCACTGTCTGAAATGTCTGTCATAGCAAATCAACACATGCTGTTGTGAATAATTAAGCAAAGCGTCTTCTCATAGGATAAGAACACGCAGTCTCATGAATAATTTAATAGACACCGACACGTCATCGATGTACATCGTCCATTGCCACGTCACAAATTGTGACGTCAACACAATGTAGATTTTAAACCCGGAAGATGAAAATAGAGCAAAAAAGCTTAGAATTAACCAGTGTTCTCCAACAGTTAAAATTATCAGATGCTAACATTATCTTCTATAATGTGCAACACAAACACCTCTGCTAAAATCTCAGAAAAAGTAGTCTGAGGTTTCATGACGCTTTAAGCCCCGTTCACACTAGCAGCGACTTTTGTCTGCATGTTGCCAGGGGCTGGCGATGAGGTTGCTAGTGGGCGTTCTCAATACTGGTTGCCTTGACAGCGAATCAGGTTTTTTGACAAACTTGTGTTTGCGGAACGATGTATGTTATAATACATCATGTACACTCACTAAACAAAGAGTGACAGAGACAGAGACAAAGCAGAGCCAATTCATAAAAGAACAATATTTAAAAGCACACGTCCAGTTTTGTGTGAGTGAAGGAAATCCGCTTGGGAGTGGAGAGATTGGTCCTCGCGCACATGGATCGCGTAACATTATGCACTCTCGACATTGTCATTAAGATCACACTATAGAAACGGCCTAAAATTAAGTATAAAGAAGAGAAGAAAGCGGCCCTAGGCAGCTGCCTACACATGCCAGGATCCGCCACTGCCATATGCAGTTAGAAATTTACTAAAAACAAGCCTATCGCAAGACATCTGGTAGGGGGGGCCAGCCAAATTTCAGGGGGGCCGGTGCCACCCCTGGCCACCACGTAGACACGCCCCTGCTGTTGTATCCTTTTTGAAGCTTGAAAGTTTCAGCCCGTTCAGTGTATCGAAAAGAGCTATTTCAAATGTGATTATTTAAAATCAGATTTTTAAATTTAAATATCAAAAGTTCTATTTCAAGAGTTTGATGGAATGTCTTTCACCTTTTCTCTTGTAGCATTGTTGCAGTGTGACCCTCCTATGTACCAGGTGGATCTGACCACTGTGGAAAGCAACATTTTGAGGTTCCGTCTGCGGGATGCCCACATGAGTCCGGCGGAGTTCTGTGAGCGGATGGCAGGCGTAGATGAAGAAGAGGTGAAGGCTCTGGGCCAGGGGGTCCAGGTTCTGATGTTCCCACACGTTGGGGGAACAGTCAGGGCTGTGTGGCATCTGGGCATCAGCGAGGAAGACACTCAGCTGGCTATACAGAAGGCTCATTTTGTGGCCCAACAGCACAAGCTCAAGTCTATCAGGGCAGCATGAGAAGAGTCCTTGACCAATCAGAGATGTCTTTACACCAGTCTTTTGGTCTCAGGGGCCATTTAAAAGCTGTACAGCTGTACAATGAAGCATAATTATATTATCTACTTTGCACTCCAGTTGGACAGCCAAGACTTACCCACTTAATTTAGTGGTGAGAGGTATAGTACGCCCATTTGGTGTGTATATACTGTACACACACACACTTAATGATTACTCACAATAAACTATTGTCACTGACATTTGAATCTTGTTTAAACGCATACTTTAAGCAGCAGAAGCAGTTTGAGGCCTTTTAAAAGATACATTATGGCTAGTTTTTATTGTTTTATCATTGAGTGTTATATAAGAGTTCCCCATAAGGAAAAGACATAGTCGTGTAGAGACAGATCGTCATGACAACAAAGCAGAGATTTACTGCAGTGGATATCAGAAGGGGCTCAGGGCCACTGTCTAGTCTTGCTTGTTAACACGGTTAACTTTATTGCTATAGCATGCAGGAGAAATAAATTGACTGAATTTACATCTACATTTACATGACATTTTTAAAATGACATATCCTTAAACTGGTTTTAGGCATATAATTTATTCTGTTGATTATTTGCTGTCTTTACAGTCCAATTAACAGCCCTCAAAATGTACAGTTAAGGCACCGTAGACAGTGTAATGGCTGACAAGCCAAGACCTTGTTTTGCCTTCCAAAATAAAATAAATAAAAAAATTACATAACTTACAGAATCTTGTACACAACATCAATATGAGTGTGGGTGATTCTCACAAAACCTGTCAGGAGAATATCCAGGTTATGTGTCATTCTAAACTTAAAAAGAATTTAAATTTTTTTTAATTTTTCCCATTTTGAAAAAAATAATTTTTGCTTAAATTTTTTATTTTTTTTTAGTTTCTAATTTTCATATCCTCACTGTAATGAAATACAGATTCTCATTCTTTATTCTCATTACCGTGTACTATATATTACATAAAAAAAATTATTTATACATCATGGAATTAATTGTACTGCCTTGAATGTAAGCTAATTAAATTTTATTTTAAAGTGTTGTTTTGAAAAATAAACAGTAAACAATTACTGTACAGTAAGAGATTTGTCATTAATGGAAATAGTAAAAGATTAAGTGCATTATGATTAAGAACTGGGAGTAAAATGTGTGAAATTGTCCTGAAAATAATATTACAATGCAAACTATTGTATGATCATAAATGTAGCCTTAATTTTGAGATGAAATGTAGACATTATTTCAGTGGCTTTGTGAGATTGGCCTGTTTGCATTAATGTGTACTTTCCACCAACAAAGCCATTTTAGGATTTTTGGAGTGTGAAGCCCTGTATAATATGTGCATAAAATCAAACTACAGTATGAAAAATTTGAGAAATAATAAAAAACGTACATAGTAAAACTGTTGACTGCTGATAATCTCATTGGGATTCATTAATAGTATTAATAGTTTATTTAATAAAGGAAAATGTGTGCTGCATGTGGTTGCATAAATACCCTAGAATCAATAGGCACATAGACAGACTGCACATATGGGTGAAACATCTCATGATGGAAAAATACTGCCATGTGCCATTATGGAGTGAGCCACAAGGCCAGGCCAAAGGAACATTAATTTCAGCCTTGTGTATTCTGCTAACGCTCTGATGGGGCTTGTATGGTTGATGGAGTGGACTAATCAGCTACTTATGGAAGAGGCCACAAAAGCAGATTGGCTCAAACAGAAATTCAAAATTAGGGCTTGAGTGCTTGAACTGGATTCAATGTATTTATCTAAAAGAAGTAAAAAAAAATAAAAAAATAATAGGGATGGCAACAAAGCACAATTTATAGTAAAACATCTGTTTGGAATGCAGCATTTAGAGATCTGTGTTTAAATGAATTTGGAAATCTGTATTTAAATGAAATGGCTGTAATTTAAACAAATAATAAGGCAAATTAACAATAATCAATTTCATTTTGGAAAGCATCATCAAGACCAATATTTAGCTTGAATCAAAAAAGGCAATCTCATTCAGTTTTCTTTCCACACCTGAAAATGAAGTTGAATGATTCTGATTTCTTGCCTCCACCAGAGCTGGTCACCCTCTGAAAGTGTTAAAGCAGACCCCTTACGTTTATGGCTACGGTTATCCTGCACAGAAAAAATTAAACCCACCCGAGCGCTCATTTAAGACAATACATTCTTTATGATTCATAAACTGTGCCAAAAGCACCTTTTGAGTCACTACAGTAAGTCACATTTCTTCTTCTGTTGTTAATTTGCTAAAGCAGTGTCGAAAAGTAAAATTACATTAAATAAATAAAAAGAGTTGCATACAAAAACCATTACATACAGACAATTCAATTAAGCTTTAGTCTTGATGAATATCTAAAGGCATAATGTTCCTGACTGTTGCCGTAAACCAAAATGAGAATGATAAAAATTTGAATAAAGTCAACAATGAGAATAGTCAATCCCTGAAAGCAGTAACAACTAGACATGACAAACAACAACTACAAATCACATTAAAGTGCAAAACACTCAAACATAACTTTAAATGAAAAGATTGCATTAAAAGCAAAACATTGTTTACAAAAACAGAATTTTAAGAACAGCATTCAAAAACATTCAGCTTCTCAGGGATTGTGAGATGTCTCTATATTGGCATTCCAAATTAAATTAGGCTTGTTCAGGTAAAATGGATAGAAATGTGACGACAAATAACTATGATTAGGTATGATCCATCTCAGCACATATTTTCTAAATGGACAACCTGACTCGAAAAGATCAAAGTAAAAAAAAAATTGAAAGCACACAATCATGAAAAGTGAAGTTTCTGAAGCCCGAGTATAAAACATCAAAGGTGGTATCAAATATACAGTGGGTATAGAAAAGAATCACCCCCTTTAAAATAATCACATTTTGTTGCTTTGCAGCCTGAAATGAAGACGGACACATTTTTTGTTTTATCCAGCTGTATTTATCAGTGCAACTTATAACATCCAAGTGAAAGATATAACACCAACATGTCAGAAAAAAAAAAAACCCAAGAGTGACTGAGTTGGAAAAGGGATCATCCTCTCCCCAGAAATGACTTGTAAACTCAGTCAGGTGTAGCTGATCACCTTCTCAATGGCACTCGAGGCCATTTGACTTTCAACTGTGATCAGCGGTGGTCATTTTGATTAGCTCAGCATGAAAAGAGCTTTCCTGGGGGTATTCCAAAAAGCAGGTTATGTGACATACCCGGGTATGTTTGAGGATAAGCAAGCGGATAACCTAAGCTTTCGGTTACAAAATCGGAGGTTACTTTCAGGGTAAGTAAGTAACCATAGTAACTTGCTCTCTGAAGATAACCTGCTCCGGAGCAGGTTATGTTCCAGGGTTAGTTCACTTTAGCACTATCAGGGCATGTGTGATCTACTGACGAGCCTTCAGTGGGCGTGACCGATAGCACACAACATTATATAATATTACAATATGTAATATAGGCTATTATATATATAATATATATATTTGTATGACATGTTAATGACGAAGCGGCCATTGTGTGCATGTGACAACAATATCACAAATTCTCCACAAATGTGGCATTATGGGAGGGTTGCAAGAAAAAAAAGCCACTGGTCAAGAAAGGCCACATGCAGTCATGACTGAGCTTTGCCAAAATGCACCTTGAAGATTCTGAGGCAGATGAGACTAAAATTGAATGATTTGTCCTCAACACCAAACGATATGTCTGGCAGAAATCCAATACAGCTCACCTTCGAAATAACAGCATTCCTGCAGTAAAGGTGGTCATATCCTGTTATGGGGGTGTTTCTCTGCAGCAGGGACTGGAGCACTTGTCAGGATAGAAGGAAAAATGGATGGGGCACAATACAGTCAAATTCTTGAGAAAAATTCTTGCTGCCTTCTGCCAGAAAGTTGTCAATGGGAAGAAGGTTTAACTTCCAATATGACCGTGACCCAAAGCACACAGCAAAACTGACCACACAGTGGTTGAATGAGAAAAAGCTGAATGTCTAATCAGAGCCCAGAATTAAAACCCCACTGAAAAACTGTGGAATGACTTGAAGACTGCAGTCCACAAAGCTCACCATCAAATTTAACTGAACTTGAGCAGTTCTGCAAAGAAGAGTGGGCAAATATGCTGTAATTAAAGCAAAAGGTGGATCAACAAAATACTGACACAAGGGGATGATCCTTTTTCCAACTCAGTCATTCTGTTTTTTTTTTTTTGACATTTATATCTTTCACTTGGATGCTATAAGTTGCACTGAGTAAATACAGCTGGATAAAACAAAAACTGTGTCTGTCTTCATTTCAGGCTACAAAGCAACAAAATATGATTATTTAAAAAGGGGGGGGGGTGATTCTTTTCTATACCCACTGTAAAGCAAATCAAATGGCAGAATTCAAATGAATTTTTCAGAAAGGCCTTTTCATAAACTACACATACTTCATGAACAATGGATGGCTGTAAAAAATATACAGTTACGCTTCCTGTTATGTGCTCCGTTTATAATGTAAAATCAAGGATAATAACAGCAAGAGAAAAACAGAAACATGAATACTGGCAAGCCGGAGCCCAGCATAAAAGAAAATAACATTACAGAAGCGCAAACAAATGAAATTTACTAGAAATTACAGTAGCAATTATCAACATGAGATGAGCCAGACAGTTGGCCTCTGAATTAGTCTATATGCTATAAAATGAAACACTAATAGAAAAAATTGACTGAAAGTTACATAACAGAGTTCTGATATTTATACTATATTGCAAAGGGCAATTTGGTTGTCCAGCTGTTTCTCATGATCTTAAGTGTGTGAAATTATTTTTGAATACAAATCGTGCTTTTGTATGAATATCTTTACAACATTATTTTTTTCCATTTCAGTTTACTTCCGTTTGTGTTATTTTATGGTTTTGATGACTTTACTATTATTCCAAAATGTGGAAAATAATCATAATAGAAATGAATAGATGTGTCCAAACTTTGGACCTGTAATGTTCATCTGCATTTTTGCTAACAATGCAAGAGAGAGAGGAGACCTTACTATCTTGCCTGAAATGGAAATTTATGGTTCAAGGAAGTGGCGAGTCTCTATATGGGAGGAACAGACTCTTCATACTGGGTTAAAGGCACCAGCCTGACAGCCAGCAGTAGGAGAAGACCAGTGATCACCTCCAGAAGAAAGGAGACCCAGGCCATGCCCATAGACCAGCCGAATGATGTGTGCACTTGAGCCATTTGCTCACGGCCCATCCGCCTTTCAGTTTCTTCCAGAGCCTTCTGAGAGTACCTGATGTACAGACTCACCCCAGAGAGAGTGAGAAGACCTGAAAAACACATGCACAAGCACGCATGAATGCGCACACACACAAATAAAACCAATTAAGCATCATTTAGACTACACCTTGTTGTTCTGTCGGCGGTTACAAGACATTCTTCACTCTGTGGTGTACTGTAGATAGATTGATTTAAAAAACAGTTACATATTTAAATGTGGACTAAAAATTGCAAGTAGTCTTAATTCAGCAGATCTAACTTGACCTTAAAATCCAGTCGCTTTTATTATGCTTAGCAATTTCTTTTAATCAATGACAAGTACTTGACAGAACATTTGGTGGTTTTAATGTCTTCAATGCCACAATCATATCTACATTCAGTCATGAATACTAAAGCCTAAATGTGCATAAAGACCCTGATGTGCTGATTTGTTTATTACAAACATGCAGCTTTTCGCTTCACAAAACATTAATTCTGACAGCCCCCATTCACTGCAGAGGATCCGTTGGTGAGCAAGATGTAATGCTAATTTTCTCCAAATCTGTTCTGATGAAGCAACAAACTTGTTTACATCTAGGATGGCTTGACGGTGAGTACATTTTCAGCAAATTTTCATTTTTAGGTGAACTATTCTATTAAGTATGACATAACTCTCCAAATACTTTGTGAACAAGCAGGCTGCTTTGCTTTACTGATTCAGGTCTTAAACGGTAAGCTTTTGCTTCAGTTGTAAATGCCTGTAACATTTTTTTGCAACTGTGCAAAATTGCCTGGATCCAGTGATCTTATTCCCACTTAATCAAGCTGATATTTTACTGCTAAAGCTCCTAACTTGATATTTGCATTATCTATGGGATTTATTTTAATAAACCCATATTTTAAGATGTCAAAAACGATTTGCCTTTTTCTGTAATCAACTGAACCAGAACTGAATACAAAAACATTCTCCTTCCAGATGCGCAGCGCTTGTCTCCCTAAACACTGCTCTTACTGTAAGCGCAGAGAGCCATTAACAACACACATGACTAGTCTATGGCATCCGCTCTCAGAATTAAGAGAAGCATTAGCATCAGCGATGTAAACAGGGAGGAAGTCAAACTAGCTTCCCGTGGCACCCTGGTGCGTCTGATGATTCCAAGACGTGAGCCATTATTACCAAATCTTCATTAAAACAGAATGTGCTGATGTGGATAAACAGCAGCAGAAATCACATCTAATTAAACACTGACAAAATGAGAATGGATTTCCACATCAGCCATAATATGCACATAAAATTAAGAGCCAATAAACAGAGAGTGTAATACGGTTTCTAATTAGTATGGCCGAGAGTCTAGACAGGAACAAACTGACTTGTTTCTAATCTTACATTTGCTGGTTCATTTAGACCAAACAGTCTGTACTACCCAGGAACTACTGATTATTTTTATACAGCACTGTGTGTATGTCACAAATCACAGCCTGATGAATGGATGCGCTGATTTTCTTAAAGGAATAGTTCACCCAAAAATGAACATCTGTTGAAAATGTACTCATCCTCAGGCCATCCAAGATGTAGATGAGTTTGTTTCTTCATAGAAACAGATTTGGAGGAATTTAGCATTACATCACTTGCTCACCAATGGATCCTCTGCAATGAATGGCATAGCGTCAGAATGGGAGTTCAAACATTTAACATCCTCTGAAGTGAAACACTGCATGTTTCTTATAAATACATCTTAATGATGGATTTATTACAAACACACAGCTTTTTTTTACTTCACAAGACATTAATGGTTGAACTAGAGTCGTGAGGAAGTTTGTGGATTATTGTGATGTTTTTAATCAGCTGTTTGGACTCTCATTCTGACGTTCATTGACTGCAGAGGATCCACTGGTAAGCAAGTGCTAAATTTCCCCAAATCTGTCTGATGACGAAACCAACTCATCTACATCTTGGATGGCCTGCGTGTAAGTTAATATTCAGCAGATTTTCATTTTTGGATGAACGGTTACTTTAAAAGCGTCATCTTATGAGAGGAAGACTATTAACAAAAAGCAGTCCATGTGAATTTCTCTTGTGTCAAAATATTCCTTCAAAATTGCCTCTTTATTTTACTATACATTCTTGTAAACAATCCACCAACTAAAGACGATGTAAGTAAGTAACAAGACTGATGCCAAAATGTTACCATCTCATTTATATTCCAAGCTTCACTGTGTTAAACACTTGCCATGCGTTCCTTATTACCACGGTGATAAATGCTGGGGTTCACTGGCTGGCTCCTTTAAAGAAACCTTTATTGAAGTCATATGTCTTCAGGCTACATAGTGAGAGGACACTCTCAGATACAGGCTTTGAAATGCTGTTTGGTGTCACGGTAAAGCCAGCTATGTCTCAACAATGCCTATGTGTGTATGTTTGAAGATCAAAGCAAAATTGTCTTGCCTGTGATACTTAAGTCACTTTGGGATTTCTTGCAGGGGTCTCAGGAAATGAGCTCTGGTTGTACTCAGCATGGATTATTAGTCTATTTTATTTTATTTTGCTCATGCATGCATTCAATGAAGAATAAAAACCAATAATATCACATTTGAATGAGAGACTGATGCATGATCAGAATGACTGAGGGCTGTATTATTCCTTACATACTGTATATCTACCCAGATATTTTTTGGTATCACCTTTCCCTTTCACCTTAAGATTGCCCATTTCAATCATAGAAATAGCTGGGTGGACGTTCTCTATTATCCTATCAATTTCATGAGAGGAAAACGATGAACCGCAATAACTTCAGTCCCATAAGACTCTGGCATTACAATAATTCTAGGTGAGTAATGCCTTCAGCCTTCCGGTTTTTGAATGTCATTCAGAGAACTGCAGAGCCAACTGTTTGAACTTGAACTTTGTGTATCTATGTTGTACTCCACCAGTCTGCAGACACAAGTTTAATTTGCCTGAGATAATTTTTGCAAGCAGCATATAAACTTTAATTTTTTTAATAAAAGTAGAGGCTTACTGAGTTAACCACAGTATTCAGTGGGTCAGACTTACTGCACAGGAGGAAATATGAAGCGGATCCGATCAGGAGTGTCTGGCTTCTTGCGAGGGAACTGACGAGACCACAGATACCTCCAAACACCAGCATCACCAGACTCAAGGGCAGTAAGATGGCAATCACGCGATGCATGACTGAATGACGTAAACTACAGCTGTTAAGCCACTCAGAAATGGCTTATAAAATACCAACTAACATCTTAAGCATGCTAACATACAAAATGATGGCACAGTGATACATTTATAGCCAGATATTTCATGATAGAACATTGCAGTACACTCTCAGAAAAAAAGGTACAAAAGTTGTCTCTGAGGCGGTACCTTTTCAAAAGGCACACATTTGTACCTAAAGAGTCCATATTAGTACCTAAAGTGTACATATTAGTACCTAAAAGGTACAAAAGTGTAGCTTTTGAAAAGGTACCACCCCAGTGACAGCTTTTGTACCTTTTTTTCTGAGAGTGTACAATAAGCAGTTTTTAAAGGGAGTTAAGGTTGTTGTGTTTATGAAAAGGGTTTACAACACTTACTTTCCATCTGCCTTTCTGATTCTGAATATCCAGTGTCCTCTGTATGACTTTGGACATCTACAGTCAGAAAAACACAAAGCAAATCAACAGGGTGCAAATTATGGCTGCCCTATTTGTAAGGCTCTGACCCTAAATATTAATTTTGTATCTTAATATAGCCTGTTTAACAGCGTTTTCAAACAACGTTTCAGTGCCCACAACAGTTAGACAATAAATTCTACATGGCGCTAAATTTCTGCGCAGAATTAGATTTTTCTTGAGGAAGTAACCATAGCAACAGCTGCTCTATCGCTCAGTAGCTTACTATATCTTACATCGACAAAAATGACACATTACAAATATAACGGAATAGCTAGAGTTTTGTTACTGAAACTGGGGGTAAAAAATGTTTCAGATAGTTGAGGCGCCAGATGACAATTTGAAGACGAATCTTAAATGCGCCAAGAAAGTTACAGAAATTAAGACATGGACATTAATTAATTTAATTGTTTTTGAAATGCTCAGTTTTAAACTAATTATTGGGCTAGATGTTGTATTGCGGGTGCAGTCTCTATTTAATTCTTTATTTTGATCCAACTATTCCAGATTGGTCAAATGAACTGCACGCACAAGTTAAAGCCCAAGATATTCCAAAGGAACCTATTAAAAATAATAATAATCGGACTATGATCAAAGGCAACAGCTCCACACGGTAAAGACATGAGAATGAAAATGAAGGTCGACATACCATCTGTTACTCCCCAAAGTCCAGAGTTAGTGCGCGCCGGGTCGGTGAGGTTGGCGCGTTTGTCCTCGATGATGTACCAGTATTCAGTCCCAATGGCGAGCGCTAAAGAGCTGAAACTGAGAACACCCGTTAAACCCCCGCCGACGACCACGAAACCGTATGTCATTTTCATATCGGTCTGAATAGATTTTCGATTCCGATTCAGGATAATCCAAAAACTACGCTGAAAACCATACCATTTGGCTGTGCGACGCGATCAGATTCCTAACTGAAGGGTCCCTGGAGCTCATGGAGTAAATCACGCGCGCTGCCCAACAGCTGGAATAAGTGATGTTGATTGTCCATCCAAGATGCCAGTAGCATAAAATGACATGCAGGGTGTTATGTTATTACTAGAAAAGTTGTGTGGTGTTAAAAGAAAAGGTGGGTTGCTTGGACATTTATTCCTCACCGGTGTGTGCAGTCCGTGTCCAACTAACACGGAGCGCAAGATTACGCGTGACTGGTACAGAGGAAACCTGACGTGCAGTGCATAACCAACACCCTTCATGACATTATCCAACCATCCTTTTCACAATCCAAAAACAAACAAGCACTGAATTCCCAAGGTTTTTTTTAAAAAGAAATAAGTCTCACTATAAGAGCAATTTAGACAGTGCAATATTTTAGAGCTGAGCTGCCATTATCTCAGTAACTAGGCTACTACTAACTTCTCCGGACCTGAACTTTTCCTGATATTTCCAGGTTTTCCCATTCCCAAGAGAGAAAACTCTTGTTACAGATACAAGTCATTTTTTTTATTTAAGTTTTTATACTGAACAGACAAACAAACAAAACGACTTAAAGAACAAGAAATAAACATTTTACAGAGGCCATGGGAGAGTTTTTTTTTATTAAGCTCATTTTAAAATAAATACTATATAAGGAGGAAGAATGTGTATCAATTTCAACAGGTGGCGTGACATACAAATGTCATCACAGGTAACATTTAAAAAAAAGAACATACAGCGTTCCATGACATACAAAGGAATGAAAAGAAGAAAACTAAAAATCAGACCAAAATCAAACCACAGCTAAATGAAACTCTTCACTCCTCCCCCATCGCAGTCTGGATGATCTGGGCTCTCTTGATCTTCACCGCCTCTTCAAATTTATCAATCGCCTGGCTACACGATTTTTTCTGAAAGATTACAAAATCAAGTAAAATATACTGATATTCAGCTATGGAAACTTGAAAGATGCACTTCTGTTGCAAAAAATTGACTTGAGACTCCAAATAAGATGTAGTTTGTCACAAAGAAATATAAATCAAATACAACTATCTACATTACTTATTCATCTATTAGCAAAAATTAAGAAAAATGTTGAGAGGTATTTAAAACAACAGGTCTAAAAGTGGCTTACATAATGATCAAGGAAATTCCTAGAAATAAAACATATTTTAAGTATAATAAATTAAATGTCCCGTAAGAGTGGTAAGTTTATAAAACTAAAGCATAGAATATACAAAATGCTAACAAAAGGGGTTTGAGACTTCACTTTAACTCTTGATCATATCTAATCATTTTATTCACGTCATAATGCATTACAATGTTACACAGATTTCAGGGAAGTATTTAATATATATAATTTTTTATAAGTAATATAAGTATAACTTATACTTTATATACAAGTATTTAGTATTAGAGCTGTGCAATTAATCGAAATACAGTTTCGATTTCAACCTCCAATGATTATGAAAATACAATAATCGAGATAAAACTATTATCGTGCCCTATTCCGCCCCCTTTCCAGCGGTGTGCTTTCATTCCTCCATAAAAGCCCAAACTTCATGCGCAGATCAGTAAAATCATGTAAAGTGACTTTCGCAAAATGCAAAAGTTGATTACATTTATTTGTGTTTTTAAAAGTGCGAAAGAGAACTTGTGCTGTTCCTCAGGAGGCTTTCTGTGCACACACACTCAGAGACGGAACAGAACACGGACATGTAAAGTCACCTTTTAAAGTAGGCTGTTAAGTTAATACTTTTACATGATTTATTTTAACATGTATATGAGTTAGCCTAGTATTCTGAATTGTGAAATTTCACTGGTATCTAATATGCAGACGTCATTGCAACCTTATTTACAGAAAAGTAGCCATCTCATAACCATCTCATAATAGTGTTAAATAATTGTGATTACGATATTAATCAAAATAACCCTGTTTATAATTTGTGCCAAAGTATATATAT